TGCTGCCTGCAGGAGCCTGCAAACTCAACCTTCAGACTGTCCCAGTGCTGAGGGCCTCCACCTGGCAGCTGCAGCAGGAAAAGCAGGGCTCCCTGAGGAGCCAGAGCCTGCAAACTGCTGAGGGTGGTATTGAGCAACAAGGCATGATCCTTGCCTAGAAACTAACCCACCCAACATGGTGCTCAGTGAGGGGACCCATGTTCTACTAAAGCATCCTTTCCTCTTGCACCTCTATTCAAAGATGAGATGACTAGAAGCTCACCACCACCCTCCCATCTTCTCTCTCCCTCACACACTGCTTACATCATTCTGAGTGCTTCCCACATGCCATCTTATTTATCACATATGGTCACTTTGGGATTATGAATTATTTTTATTCCTATTTGACAGATTTGGAGATGAAGATACAAAGAAATACCTAGCTCAGGGACACGGAGCTAGTAGGTGGTGAAACTGAAGTATATCCCAGAGAGCTCATGACCTAAAACTCTGCTTGTAACCATTAGTCAACACTGCCTCTCCCTCCCAAGAGAGAATTGGCTACCTCTTCCCAGGAATCACTGTACTCCCTCATTAGGCAGAAACTCGGTCTCCCTTCTCTTTCTTTACTCTCCTTAGGCACTAGGCATTAACTGGTCACCATGACCAATTCTCAGTGGCACTCCCTGGCACCTCAACTTACCCTTGTGCCTGCCACCAATCCTGTTTCTTTCCTTTGAGTCCCCTGGAATAGCTCCAGGAGGGAACTAGGAACACTTGGAATGCTGACTTCCACTAATATGGACTTTGCTCTTAAAACCAGGCATACCTGCCCTAGCCAGTTTGGCTCAATGCATAGAGCATTGGCCTACAGATTGAAAGGTCCCTGGTTTGATTCCAGTCAAGGGCAGGTACCCCAGTTGCAGGCTTCTCCCACAATTGGGCCCTGTTATCAGTGCATGCTGGAAGCAACCAATCGATGTGTTTCTCTCACGTTGATATTTTTCTCTGTCTTTCCCTCTCTCTAAAAATCATTGGAAAAATATTCTCGGGTGAGGATTGAAAAAAAGGGGGGTGGTGGCATAATTGATATTTAGCCAATTAGAAAGTAAAGTTATTTAGAGGAGAGGGGTGTAAATTTCCTGGAAAGCAGACTTCCACAATCTTATAAAAAATAAACTTTAAAATGTTATAGGAAGCCAAAACCGGGTTGGCTCAGTGGATAGAGCATCAGCCTGTGGACTGAAAGGTCCTGGGTTTGATTCCAGTCAAGGGCACATATCTTGGTTGTGGGCACATCCCCAGTGGGGGATGTGCAAGAGGCAGCTGATCAATGTTTCTCTCTCATCGACATTTCTAACTCTCTATCCCTCTCAATTCCTCTCTGTGTAAAATTAATAAAATCAATAAAATATGGAAAAAATATTTTAAAAAATAAAATAAAATGTTATAGGAAGCTATGAGACCTCAATAACTTTATAAGTACAATCATTAACTAATTAATCATTAGTTAACACTAATTAATCTTTAGGAAACACAACCACAGACCTCAAGAGTTAGAAATTTTAAGGCTCAAGATTTTACCTTAACATATTTGAAATCCAACCTTCAATTGATCCTCTGAAACACACTCAACCCATCTTCACCAACTGAAAAACTTTGCATTGTCACACTGTCAAGATGACATCTAATAGAGCTCAGAAGGAAAATAGCCACAGGTGAGCCTCTCTGCTCATTTCAAGGGCCAGAAGGTGTCAGAAGAGACTAATTGCTCAGGAATGCAGAAAAAGCGAAGGTCAAGTTCAGTCAGCATATCAAGTCACCCAGCTTTTATTATGGAGATACTCTGTGCCGGCCATTGTAGCAAACACTACTAAGAACCATAGACTGTTAATACTGGCAAGGACCTACGGAACGAAATTTCTGTTATGGAGCCTCTTACAATTTGACTGGAATATTAAGACTCACATATGGGTGGAAATTAGAAAACAATACTAAACTTAAATAAGCAGATACTGAGAGATGCTGTAAAAACTCAGGAGAAGTAAAAACAAGTTGGGACTGGAGTCAGTCAGTAGAGATTTTAAAGAGCATATGGGATTTCAGGTGACTTATGAAAGTGACAAAGTGGACGAGAGTTAGGTGCCATTCACTGAAGGATAGCGTGAAAGTAGGTAGAAAATGATAGCAAGAAGCCTGGGGACCAACCATGGAGAAGACATGGGCATTCCTGGAGAAGAAAGCAGCCTTCCTTGCAGTGAGGGAAAAGGGTGGCTGAAGGCTGGATAGTGAGCTTTTATTATTTCATTTTATTTTATTTATTTGGCGGGAAGAGGTAGTGAGCTTTTAAATCAGGAATTTGAAATTGGTTCCATAAGGTCAAAGGGAGCTACTATAGTTTCTTAAGTAGAAGACAACACTTCTTAAGCAGGCTTACAGTATGTTTAAAACCACCCCACCCAAAACAACAACAACAACAACAAAAAACAAAACCCAAAAAACAAAAATAGCACTTTAGAAAGATTAATCTGGAATCTGAGTGGTAGATGGATGGTTTGATAACAGGAGGACAATCAGATGATCTGGTCACCCAGGTAATAAGAGCCTATATCATGAGAGAAATAGAAAAACTGAGGAAAATGAAAAACATAGGATTCAGTGGCTAACTAATTAGGGAAACAAAAAGGGGATTAACACCAGGAAAAAAATCATGTCTGGAAAAATAAGTGTGTTTTTTCCCTCCCCATTTTTAGAAATGTGGGGGCTCTGGGGCATGCAACCAAGGTAGAATTAAGAAGTCAGGGAGCTGGTTTGTAGGTGATAAATCTATTCTTAGCCATGCTTACCGTGAGGTGGGACACTGGAAATTGGATTTGATTCGACCATTAATTCTGACTACAGACACACCTCTTTTTTTGTTGACCATCTACATATATAAACAGCCAGGATTTTAACATCCAAAATGACCAGGGCTCGACCAAATGCCAGGCTGCACCACAGCTGGTGAGCAGGCTGAACTGCTGACCTCACAGAGAGAGAGAGAGAGAGAGAGAGAGAGAGAGAGAGAGAGAGAGAGAGAGAGAGAGAGAGATGCAGGACTGATCAGCAGTGAGCCCTAGAGAGGAGCAGGGTGATCAGACCCTGCTTCTCTCTCCAGGCCTCACCGGCAGCCAAGCCTCTCTCTCTCCCAGAGGTCAGCAGTTCAGCCCACTTGCCAGTAGCCTGAAGCGGCTGCTGATCAGCCCTGCCTCTATAATCAGGCCTGGAGATAGGCCCCGAGATGCTGACTGGCATAGAAACCAAACAATCAGAACCTAATTTGGGTGAACTGCAAAGGCAGAACCTAAAGTGGGGGCTGAGGAGGGGTTTTAAGGGCAACAGCTGTTCCATGTAGGTGTAAGAAAGTGGTTCAATTTTTTAATGACCAGTTTGGCAGTATAGTGCATATGGCTGGCTATCAGTTCAGATATGGGGATTATGTGTTTTTGTCTGTCAAGAGCATTTCCTCCTGCTGAAAAAGGCTTCCCTCCTTGCCCATTTAAGCAATTCTATCCTATATAATCTATCTATACTATTAAAAGGGTAATATGCTAATTAGACCAGGTCTACTGGCCATCTTCCAGATGTCTGACTTCCTTCAGGATAAAGCCATGGTGGTGAGGGCCGAGGTAGAGGCAGTTAGGAGTGATTAGGCTGGCAGAGGAGGGCAATTGGGGTCAATATCAGGCCAGCAGAGAAGGGTAGTTAGGGGCAATCAGGCAGGCAGGCAGAGTGGTTAGAAGCAATCAGGCAGGCAGGTGAGTGTTTAGGAGCCAGTTGTCCCAGATTTGAGAGGGATGTCGGTCCCAGATTGGAGAGGGTGCAGGTAGGGCTGAGGAACTTCCTCCTCCATGCATGAATTTCATGCACTGGGCCTCTAGTTTTTAATATAAAGTCAACAAATACACAAAATTGAGATTTTTACTGTATTATTTTAGCTCCACAAAAAACATTTTCTTTTTTGTTGTTTTTTAGGATTGAAATAAACTGTCACCTTGATGTTTTCAAGAACATTAAAGCTGTGTTCAGGCCTCGGATTTTTCAGGCCAAAATCAAAGGCCAGCAATTGACCAGAGAAGGAGAAGTAGAACCTCCAGGCTTGTTTGATTTGAACTTTCTGAATTTCCAATCCTCAGCATTTCCGAGTGTCACTGTTTTTGACCACGCATAACTTCTGCTTAGGAGTATGATTCCAAAGGATTGGCATGTTTTGTCCAGTTTCTGAAATCAGATGTTGACATTGGCACTCTACATTTTAGTTAAAAATATCAAATATTAATTAGCATTCCCAAAGGATGTGCCAATTTTAGCTTTTAACTCTAAAAATATTTTTACATGTTTCCAAAATTAAAAGTCTGTTTTTCTACCATTCATTCACACTTCATTCATCAGAATGAGGTGAGCAGGGCTAGAGGGACAAGAAGGGATCAAATCATATGATTGATTTGTAAATAGTTGAAAATCTGTATTTGTTATTTGGTTGAGTGATTTTATCCTTTAAGATAGAGCCTTGAGCCTATAAAAAATTGTAGTGGGATCTTATGTGTTTGCTTTTCTCAGATAAATCTATTAGTCTGCATGTGCTGTAAAATGGCATTTTCCTCCATTGAAAATTCCACTTCCTGTGCAACATATGTCATTCTGCCTTCCTTGCAGACATGCCCAAATAAAGTTCAAAATCCCTCTTGCATTTGTAGTCAATCTAGTCCTCTATTTAAGGTCAATTGAGAACAGCCCCAAGAGAAGTCTTTTAAAAAAAAAAAAAGCATTTAACAATTAGCTAGCACAAAATGCACCTCTGGGTGACTTCTAAATTGATTGTCTCAGAGCAAACGGTTAGGTAAAAGAGAAAGCCGAAACTCAAAAGCAAAGAAGAAGGAAGAGGAATAATGGGATTTTGTACTTAATAAAATTTAAAGGTGCTATACTTTACTGTAGATAAGTACTGTAGATTGCTCCCTGAAATGGTCATAGAGACTTACCAGATTAAGGAGTGTCAAGTACTTCCACTGTCCACCATTTAGAAAGATTTTGGACATCTGCTTACTCCTTCCTTTTTGTGAGATGTGATAATTGAGGAAAATATACCAGCTCGAAACAAGGAAGTGGTATACGCATATAGAAGTCCTCGTCATGGCTCACTCTGGCTGAGAAACTGAACGTCTGAAGTGGCTGGCTTTCCACGGTAGTCCTCGTGTTGGGTAAGAGCTGAAATCCAGCAGCAGGCGGGGGAGCTGTAAAACACACCCCTACAGTTGAGAGTTACAACAAGATTGGATTTTGCTTCCCTCGTAGGTTTCCTCCTGATAAACTTTGTGACAGGATTATTGTGTATTTTCAGATGGCCCTTTTTAGATAACAGGTAGTGTGCAGACTTGCATATAGGCAGGTCAGATCAATTCAAGAGCTGCACTTTGCCCTATCAGGCTGGGACGGGGCGTGGTTAAGTGACTTACTGAGAAGTGCTGCTAAACTGATGAAATCCTGTCAGGATTGCATTCTCTCTTCTTTCCTTTTTATTTGAGCAGAACAAGGAAGTTGCAATAATATATTTTGAGAGAATAAGGGGCAGGTTGGTAAACCAGGAGGGAGAGATTATGGACATGCTTAGGACTTGAAAGGAGGTAAGTAAAAAAAGAAAAGGCATTGTAATCTTGCTCCTGAGGTCTCTGAGGCCTCATGAAATCTGAAAAAAACAGTTGGACCTCCAGAGAGCATTTCCAAGAGTTTTTTGTTTTTGTTTTTTAATTTTGTGCATATGCCCTGAAGAACCAAGGGTTGCCCAAGGCTGTCCCAGACACTTTTATTTGCATGGTTTTTCTATACCCTGGGAGAACAGAAGCATAGCAAGTCATCTGTGGCTAAAGAAGCATAAATAGGCCAAAGAGTGTGCCCATGATCCCATCATAACTGAGTATAGACATTTCCTTGGGGAGAAGGAGAATATGCTCAGGCTGGGCAGTTTGAAGAACTGAATTCTGCCTCAAGCTGGATGGAAAGGACCTGAGAGAGAGCTGAAAGTGGGAAACTTTGTGTCATCACCAGCTTGTTTCCCTAAGCAACTCACTAAGAGGGTTCTAAGCAAATCCCTAAGGGAAATATTCTCAACGTAGTTGTGTAAGTATGTAGTTGGTGCTGTACAACAATTCAACCAGTGTTTAGAAGTCTGGGAGAAAGAACTTCAGGCATGCCCTAGCTCCGTGGTCGGCAAACTGCGGCTCATGAGCCACATGTGGCTCTTTGGCCCCTTGAGTGGGGCTCTTCCATAAAATACCATGGCCTGGGAAGTGGCAGTAGAAGAAGTTTAAGTTTAAAAAATTTGGCTCTCAAAAGAAATTTCAATTGTTGTACTGTTGATATTTGGCTCTATTGACTAATGATTTTGCCTAGCACTGCCCTAGCTGGTTTGGCTCTGTGGATAGAGTGTCAGTCTGCAGACTGAAGGGTCCAAGGTTTGATTCGGTCAAGGGCACATACTAGGGTTGCAGGCTCAATCCCCAGTAGAGGGTGTGCAGGAGGCAGCCAATCAATGATTCTCTCTCATCATTGGTGTTTCTATATCTCTCTTCCTCTCTGAAATCAATAAAAATATTAAAAAAAAGAAACTTCAGGCTGTACATGTAGGACAAAACCAAACAAAGCCACTATCCAAGAGTCAGTCATAGGATCCCAAATATTAGACACTGCATATGGGCGTAGAGCAAATCTGAACTAGCACTAAAGGGTCTGCACTGTAAACATTCCCAAAAGAGAGGTGATCTGGGAAATTGGTGACATAAAACTATACACAATTCCATGACCTAGGTTAAAATTCCAAATAACAATGATCAATGGAATGGCGAGACCAGATATTTTCCAGATATATTCCTAAAAGAAGGAATAATTTGGTGTCTCACAATGCCAAAGAATGAGTTCTGTGAATCAAGGTGTGGAAAATTTATTAAAAGCAGATTCAGACTCCCCACAAGGGCGGGGGACCCAATACTGGGCTGCCCATTAAAAAGTCTTGTAGTCCAGGGGTATGTATCTCCTACAAGACTGTTTTATGTCTATCTGATTGATCCCCTCAATTGTTTTTGCCTAGCAGTGGACCTAAGCTTTCCCTGTTTCTATGTGTTGTTATTATGTTCCTATGCTGAATTTTTTCTCTTCTACGTATGTGTTTGTTAACAAGGAAGGGCATAGAAGCAATAGGAGAGCCTAGGCTTTGCTGCCTTACCTTGTTTACTGCAGGCTCTCTCTTGGTTTCTCACACCTCCTGCTTTAAGTCCAGAAACACTTTATTATTTCTACTTGGTTGGTTCCTGTGGTTAGGTTGCTCAAACTGCTATGTCTGTCCCTGCCTATGTTCCACCTGCCTTTGTTTTCCACTGGACCCATGCCCTAGCTGCCTGCATTTCAAGCTAACCCTTTCAACAATAGCATCCAATAACTTTGCAGTAATTAATGCATGACAGGCATTGTTCCAAGTACTTTACACACACATCAACTCATTCACCCTCCAAACACTACTATGAATTAAGTACTATTATTATTATCGGTGAGACAAGGAACCCTGAGTTCCTGACTTCTTGAGGGAAATATTTCAATCAAGAGACAAAGTGTAGAAAAGCAAGCAAGAATTTATTGACCACAGCAAAAATGTACTTAGGACAGTGAAACAAGGAAGGGCGTAGAAGCAATAGGAGAGCCTAGGCTGGGCTACCTTACCTCACTGGGAAGTCAGAGAATAGGGGGCCTTGGAGACAGGTCCAGGAGGTTAGTCCGGGACCAGCTACTGCTGCCCATTGCTCCTCTGGTTGCAAGTCTTATGGGGTCTCTTAGAGGCTGGGGATGTATGCCTGTTGGGAAAGGACAGAAGGAAGGGAATGGGATGGGGGTGCTCCCAGGAAAAGAGCGAGAGAACACCCTGGGACCTTCATTTTCAGGGGTTTTAAAGATTGGGTGTTTAGGACAGATCTTAGGGGTGAAAAATAGAATATCCATCAGCTTTATGCCCATGTACCAAAATGAGATTTATTTTCTTAATTTATCTCTCCTTGGATGTGGTTGGCAAAAGGCACCTAATTGAATTTTGGTTATCTGTCTCCCTGAGTGTTTAGCTATTTACCCTCTGGTTGGGAAAGAGAAGAGCTAACCATTTACTCTTAAGTGCCCTTGGTTTAGGGAAGATAGGATTTACTAGGTGACTACAAAATGCTGTTTAACTATCTGTCTTAGTTTCCCTATTCTGATTGTCCTGGAATTTTCCTAGTTTCTTACTATTCTATAACAATTCTGTCCTCATTTTCAGATGAAGAATTTGAAGCCCAGGCTGCTGAAGTAGAGCATTCAGACACTTAATAGGCAGAACTGGCAGTCTGCACTCTTAACAGGGGTGTCTGACCCTAAAGAAACCATGCTTGCTCTGCATACCTGTGGGCTGCCTTTGCATTTATCCATTCTCTGCTTACCCCTTAAATTCTCTTCCTTCCCCATTAGAAAATTCTCTATAAGGTGTTTTGAAGCTTGGTGCACATATGAATTGTTGTGCTATGTCTCCCAGGGCATTACCACAGCAAATATTACTGTAGATGTAGAGATTTTACTCCTTTATGCAAGCATCTCAAGTATAAGTCTGCAGATGGGTAAGGATTTGAGGCACAAGTAGGAAAAGACCCCAATCTCTGCAGTGTGTCTGTTCAAACCTGGAGACTGGCCTTAGGACATCTGGACTTTTTTTCCCTGCATTAGCATCAGTACCCACAGATGAGGACTTTCATAAATATTGATAACATTATTTCAATTTATTTGTAAGAAGTTCGACATTTAACATTGAAATTCAATTTTTAGCATTTTAATAAATGATGTAACATGTAATATAAACAGTCATGCACTGCTTACCATTGGGATACATTATGAAAAATGTGCCATTAGGCAATTTCATTGTTGTGCAAACATCAGAGTGCACTTATGCAAATGTAGATGGTGTAGCCTATTTCTCTGTAAGGGATGAAAAATAATTTTCCCTTCTGGGTTCTTGGTTATCCTTGAAATAAAACACTGGTTAACAGGAGAAAAAAAAGAAGTCTAATAGCATGTATAACATACAATATTTATATCCTGTAAACATGGAGAGACCTAGGAAAGCTGAGTAACTTACCACAATGACTAAAGCAGTACCTTAAATGACATCTCCAGCTGAAGTCAAAAGATGCTGGAGGCGGAGGGAATCAGTTATGGGGGGTTACCAGGAAAAGCATAGCAAGCAAGGGTAAGGTTGTTATGCAAATTTAATTGGAAGTTGTCTTCTGCTTTGGTAGGAGTTTCTAGAGAAAACGTAATTCCTCTCTTCTCTTACAAAGGGTAACTTCTATTTGATTTTCAGAGTTTCTCCCATGTCTGCTCTTTTTATAAATTAACCAGCCCAGCCCTAGCTGGTTTAGTTCAGTGGATAGAGGGTCCTAGGTTCAATTCCAGTTAAGGGCACGTGCCCAGGTTCCTGGCTCAATTCCCAGTAGGGGGTGTGCAGGAGGCAGCAAATCAATGATTCTATCTCATCATTGATGTTTCTATCTCTCCCTCTTCCTTCCTCTCTCTCTAAAAATCAATAAAAATATGTATATTTTTTAAATTAATTAATTAATTAACCAGCCCCAAATAATTTTTACATCAAATAGACATATTTTGGGCTGATGAATTTTGTCCCCTTGCATCTCCTAAGATCCAAACCTGTATTGTGTGTTACTATACTGAATACTGTAGGCAACTTGTATATCGCATTATGGCGTGACTTTAACATGGCCATGACATTACTAGGTGATAGGAATTTTTCAGCTCCATTTTAATCCTATGGGACCACCATTGTGTAAGTAGTCTGCTGTTGACTGTATGAACAAAAAGAGGACTATGTAATAAATCAGAGAAGCTCAGCAGTGGCCTAAAGTAACTTCACAGTGTGATCTGATTATAAATTCCCACCTGGGCAGGTCATGGTTGACTATAGCCTCCTTAGTAAGAGTTTTATTTTTGCCTTAAGCAGCCCTTTCCATTGTTTTGTGCATCTAGGTTAACACACCTTTGAAATGAATAATCCTCTATTTTAGACCCCGGGAGGTTTAACCAAACTCAAGGGAGCACATGAGCTTGTTGCCTGTAAACAACCCTATTTACTGTAAGAGTTAAATATACTATACCCTCCAATGTAAAAGAAGTATGTGAAAAGGAAAAGGGGGTGGGAGTTTGCAACCTAGTT